CCCCCCGACCGCCCGTCCTCCTTCCTCCATGGCTCCATTTTTAGCGCGCTCATGTCACAGAGGAAAGACTACATTTCCCAGGCTCCCTTGCACGGCGGTGGGGCGTATGACTACGTTTAGCCAATGGGAGGCATCATGGAAGGAGAGGCCCCGCCTCTCCCCTGCAGGCCGGAGCGCGGCCCCCGCCCCGCCCCGCCCCGCCCCGCCCCGCCCCGCCCCGCCCCGCCCCGGCCCTCTGCGGGCTGGAATGCAGACTTGATGGCTGGATCTGGGCGGCCATTTTGAGCCATGGGAACTAAAAGCCGGTCCAGGAACTCTGAGCAGCCCGGGGCCACCTACCCCAGCCTCACTGGGCTGAGAAATACGCGGGGTCCTGTTGACACCACTCCTGCTTCACTTTTGTCATTCTCTTTGGAAAGTTCATGGGATGCTCTGGGTTTCATCCCTTTGAGGGCTCCTGTCCGCGGGGCCAGCACATGGCTCTGGGGACCTAGGGAGGCGGCCCGCAGCCCTGCAGAGGCTCATCCCCTAACACACATGCCGGGTGCAGGGAGCAGTGCTGCCCGTGCCGCCTCCGTGAGAGGAGGGCGGCGGGGAAGCCAGAACGGGCCTGCGGGTCCGGCGCGGCGTCCTCTGCTGAGGCGCCCGGAGGCCCTGACAGATGGGGCCGGGTCCTGCGCCCACCTGCAGCGTGACACGTGGCGGCCACGTCCACGGGGTCCTGCTGAACATCTACTCTTTGAGGCCCCAGGGCCTCCCCTTCCCTTCGGACCGCGAGGAGAACAGCACACCATGGCCAGCCCTTGTTGAGGGCTGTGAAGGGGTCCCTTCTCCAGCGCCTGGTCCGCGGGTCCTCCTGGGGCTGCAGAGGCCGAGAGTCGCCAAGGGCACCTGCCGCCGCCCCTGCCCCAGGGCGCCTCTGACCTCGCGGCTGCCCGCGGCCGTCCCACCCGCCCCGGGCCCGAGCCAGTGCCACGCGGCCCCTGTGCGTCCCGGCCCCGCCGTCGGCCCCGGCGCCCGCCCGCTTCCCTGCGCGGAGGACTCGGGGCCCGCGGGGTCGCGCAAGGCGGGAACGCGGCGGCCACAGGGCGGCAGCACCTCCGCGGCGGCTCCGGCCCCTGCGCCCGGGTGAGGTCGGTGCTGGGTCGGAGCCGCCTCCCCACCCGCCGGGCGCACTCGAGCCCCACGCGCGGCGGCGTCTGGTGGGCGGGGCGGGGTGTCTGGAATGAGCCGCGCATCCCGGACGTGACCCCAGCGCTGGGGCCAGTGGGCGCGCGGCGCTGCGGGCTGGCAGCGCCCCCACGGCTCGCCCCTCGCGGCCCCGGCGCTTTCCGGGGCCCCGCCCCCACCGTCCCCGCCCCGCGCGCCTCGACCCCTCCCCCGGCGCGCCCCCCGCGGCCCCGCCCCTCCCCCCGCGCGCCCCCCGCGGCCCGGCCCCTCCCCCCGCGCGCCCCCCGCGGCCCCGCCCCTCCCCCCGCGCGCCCCCGGCGACCCCTCCCCTCCTCTCCTCT